CTCTCTCTCTCTCTCTCTCTCTCTCTCTCTCTCTCTCTCTCTCTCTCTCTCTCCATTTGTGTCAGCATAACTATATCAAAGGCCAACAATTTTTCTTTTAGCTGAAAGTCCTACCTTGCTATTTTTTGGTGCTTCTAATTGGAAATCTCGAAATAAATGTCTACCAGTAGGGGGAAAAGGGAGAAAAGGCATCCAAATCCTTCAGGTCTATGTTTATAGTTGATACGCTTCTCTGCATTAGGCAAGGTACATTAGCTCATATCCAAGGAGAACAAAAGCAATTGCGTGGGAGATTAAAATGGGCCTTTGGATGGGATGGGGATGTAGCTCAGTGGCAGGTGGAGTTTGAAGCTCTATACCGGAAAAAAAAAAAATGTGCCTTTGGTGAGTACAGGCATCAGTTTCCTACTTGAAGACAAGAAATTTTTTCATAGTGTTGCATTCTGTAGTGCTGCAGCACCATTTGGGTACATGCATTCAATTTAGATGTGTGTGTGTGTGTGTGCGTGCGTGTGTGTGTGTGTGTGTGTGTGTGCGTTACTGTGGATTGTACCCAGTCTTTGAACTGAGCTGCGTCCCTGGTCCTTTTTTTCTGTCATTTTTTAAAAATTTTGAGACAGTCTCACTAAATTGTTGTGTTGCCCTCACTGGGCTCAAAATTTCAATCCTCCTCCCTCAGCCTCCCAGAGTGCTATGATTAAAGGCACACACAACCATGTCGAGCATCAATCTAGATTTTTAAAACAAGTACCCTAAACATTTATAACTTCTCATTACCCTATAATTTCTGAGGAAACATCAAGATGACCTTGTCCCCAAAGGACAGATTTTATAATTTTGACATAGCAGTAACATCTCTACAATAAACAAAGTGATAGGATTTACCCTTTAAACTCTTTTTTGAAAAGCTGCAAATCTTTGCCTTTAAAAAAACTGCAATAAGGCATTTGCTGGGTATAGGATCTGACATTTAAAATCCCCATGAACCATCTTTAATTTATCAAAGAAAGAAAAAGGAAAGAAATATGCAGCTGAAGAGCTAAACACGCCCTTCTTAAAAATATATGAAAAATTCCAAACAGAAACTCAAATAAGGGCTAGTAAAATACATCCTTATGGTCAATTTACACCAAATTCTACTGAATTTATTTCCTCTTCCTTTAAATTTGCTCATTGCTACAGACTCACATATTCTTGCATGCCCTTCAGAAAAACAACATAGTCACTGCAGAAAACAACCACTTTTGAAATATCTCTTAGTTGTTTTTCTAGACAGACACAAAATTTCCTGAAAACACCATTTGAACATAAGGACAGCCACCCATCTTTGACTTGGTGGCAGCCTGCGACATCTTGTCCCAAAATCTTGGCTGCTGTGAGATGCCCCTGGACTCCAGACAGTCTGCAAAGAAATGTTGCACTTTAAGAAAGAATTTTGGTTTTTAAATTTTACCAGTGCAGAAGACAGGGCCTAAATAAAATAAAGCAAATGAAAACAGAACCTAGATGTAACAAGTAAAGTGACTCTATTCCCAAGTCTTCCGTCAGTTTTTTTTTTTCCTCATTGAGTTTATGGTACATTTTAGGTATACAGTACAGTTACATTCATCATTGGGATCTTGTACCTTTACATGACAGGTCTTGGTTCTCATTTTTTCCCCTTATCCCTCCCGTCCCTTTACCCCCTCCTCCCTTCCCTATTTACAGAAACTTTATTTCCATTTTTTCATTTTCCTCAAATTTGTATTTGCTTGTCAGAAAATAACAATGTTCTTTTTTAGAGAGATGGCAAAATGATGCTAGTGATAATGAGTGTGGGACCTAGAATCAAACAGACCTATATTTGAATCCTAACTTCACTACCTACTAGCCAGAAATTTGCTAAATTACTCTGCCTGTTTCTTCATCTATAAAATAAATGTAGTAAGTCATGAGAATTACAAGAGTTGAACATGACAAGTTTAGCATGCTTTCTTGTATATAGTAAATACTGAAATGTTAGCTAATATAGCTATTCTGGAGAAGTCCCAGGATCCAGGACACAGGGTGTGGTACCCTCCTGGCTACTGATCAGCGGTCCCTAAAAAGAAGGAGATGGCTATGGGCATTATATAAATGTGAAAAAAGTACCAGAGATAAAATTAATATCATTGTTATAACTAATATTAGAGGATGACTTTAAACTTGAATTAGGATACAAGGGGACAGAACTGTATGGCTGTAGTTCACACATGATCCCTTTAGAGCAATCACAGGCATTATGGCAGTGATGGCAAACCTTTGAGAGCTTTCAGTGATACAAACAGCCTGTCGTGGCACGTGTACCATAGTTTTGTCACCATTCCTATAGGGTATC